CTGCCGTGATGCCTGGAGGCGGCTGGGCAGAGAGCGGCTCTGGATTATCGCTCGGGCCCCTGCTGCCCCAGCAGTGCTGCTGCTCGGGGGGGAGGGAGTCCCTTCCCTCCGTCCTCCTCCTCTTCCTCCTCCTCCTCCTCCTCGGCGCTCTCCCGCTCCTCTCCTGCCTGCACTTTCCCTTTAAGGCTTGGGGGGAAACCATGACTTCCAGCTATGCCCATGTCCTGGAGAGACAGGCCGTGCTGGCCACCCGCTTGGAGAGCCCCGGCCACCTGGACAACTTACAGGCCAAAAAGAACTTCTCGGTCAGTCACCTGCTGGACCTGGAGGAAGCCGGGGACATGGTGGCGGCTCAGGCCGACGAGGGCGTGGGGGAATCGAGCAGGAGCTTGCTGGAGTCCCCGGGGCTGACCAGCGGCAGCGACACGCCGCAGGCGGACAGTAAGTGGGGGCGTGCGGGCCCGGGCGGCGGGGAGGGGAGCCACCCCAGGCGCACGGACCCAGAGCGCAGCGAGCCGGGGCAGATGCGCCGGGACCGGGCGGGGATCCCGCGGTCGCTACCCGCTTGGGCGCAGGGAGGGAGGGAGGGACAGGGCAAAGCTGCGGGACGAGAGTCCCCAGCTCCTCGCAGAGATCCTGCCCCGTCGCGGGCTCTGCAGATGCCTCCCGCGGGGGAGCGGGGCTGCGGGCCCCCTGGAGCGCTCGGAAGTGCGCCGGGTCCTGCGGCGGCGGGCGGCTGCGCGGCCACCCGCGCATTGAAAGCAGCTGCCGAGCAAGGGTTTCTAACACCTCTAAATCCCTGATAACGAGCGCCCTGCAAGCGGTTATGGCAGGGGGGGGGGCGGGGTCGGGGGCGCTGCTTTCTTTGCGCTCGGGATCGCTCTTTGCTTCGGGGGCTGGAGAGCTGGACTGAGAAAATCAGCGCCGCGCAGCTCGGGGCTGTCAGGAGCATCTCGTGTCGGTGCGGAGCGGGGCTGGGGGTTGGGGAAAGCACCCACTCCACTGGTCGCACACACGCCACACTGGCCCGCTCAGCTGCTGGCTCGAGCCATCTCTCCCCAAGCAGACTCTGGTCCCTTTTTCAAGGCCTTCTTCTATCTTCAGTCTCGATCGGGATCATCAAGGGACCAGCCTTTATGCCAGCGCGGGACCCCGTTCCCTTATCCCGTCTCACTGCCGGATCAAGGGAGGCTGACCCAGCCCTTCCTTCATCCCTGAAACCAGCCCGTCTTCATTCCTTTACATACCCCTCGAAGCGCCCTTTCCTCTCCCAGTCAGTAAGCAGGAGCTGGAGAAGGAAACCCCCCAGTGAAGGTGGAGACCCGGACCCTTCTTCCCCCGGCTCCGCCGCTGGTTGTCCGCGATTGCCAAGGGCCACTGGCCCGGCTGCCTCCAGGCCAAAGCCCCGCGCTCAGGGCGAGGCAGAGCCGCCTGCAGCGTTTCAGTCCAGGCCGGAGACCCTGCGTGGCTGGGACCAGGCGCCGGGAGCAGGGCTGGAAGGGCTCTTCTGCCTCCCGGGCAGGCTTTGCTGGGGGGAAATCAGCGGGGTCGGGGTCTGCAGTGAGGACTCGGGATCGAGCCTTGCTTCCCCAGCACCCAGACACTCCAGTTTCGTTGCGAAACCCGGGTTTAGCCCCCCTCCCGCCTAGGAGAGCTAAAGAGGCGGCTGGGCCCGATCCGATTGCTCCTACCGAGCTGGGCCCCAGCCGCCCCCCGGCCTTCTCCACTGCCTCCAACCCAAGCCCCTGGAACAGAAGGGGGCAGGATCCCGCCCCTTTTTGCCCCCCACCGATGTAACCTGGAAGGCTGCAGGGTGTGGGGCCAGGGCCTGCCTCGCGGAGGACTCTAGGCAAGGGGGCGGGAGGTGACTTAAGACAGCTTCCCCCTTCTAAGTCCCCTGCAAATGAAGCGGATCAGCAGCGAGGCCGGGCGCCAGGGGCGAAGCGCTCTCGACAGAGTGAGGAGGCTGCAGGCAGACGGGAGAAGCTCTTGTCCCGGCTTAGAGCGTCTCCTCCGAGGGGCACCAGGGGCGCCGCGGGGCAGAGACGTGGCCGCGGGGGCAGATGCGGAGCCCTAGGGGGATCCGCTCCGTGGCTGCTGCGCCGGGGGAGGCGATGGAGCCCCTCCCCCGGCCCCTTAGCGCCTCCCCGGGCCAGGGCGCAGCAGGATCCACAGCAGCCAGCGAGGGGGAGAGGTGCCTAGAGACGCTACCTTGAACCGATGTGTAAACGCGCTTGGGATCCCCCCCCGGTGCTTCTCAAGGCGCTGGAGGACGAGGGACTTCGCTTGCAAGCCAAGCAGCAGGGAACAAGGGGAACCGCGCTTCCTTCCCACCTGTCCGCCCCGCAATCAGCCCGCTGCCCGGCTCTGCAGCCTACCCACGCGCCCGCTCCGCATTCACTCGGGGCTGCGAGCAGGGCGGGCGGGAGCCGCACTCTCCCGCGGGGGGTTCATGGTCACAGGGGAGATCTGCGTCTTCCCCGCTGGGCCCGGATGGGAATCGCGGCTCGCTTCCCCTCTCCTTGCCCAGATGAGGTGCCCCAGCCCGCTCCTAATTCATCACTTGCTTTAATTGGCAGCTGCCCCCACCCGCCTGCTCCAGGGGAGCCGAAAGTCTCCTGAGCTCCCCATCCCCAGTCATCTTCGCTGGGGGACCCCGCTGGAGGCTGCTCCGCAGTACCTGTGCCCTGCTAGGAGGTGCAGACAGAAGTGCAGCTCCCAGCTGTAACGATTTTTGTAAAGCCTTTTGGGTTACAACTTTACCCGAGACCAAACAGCAGTTCAGTGTTGGTTCCCATGATCACAGCGATGATCAGCTTCTCTGGGACTCTCTCAGCCCAGTGCCCTTCAGCAGGCAGCGGGTTTCTGTGTCGCTGGTGGAGGTGGGGGTGTTCAGGCTTCTATAAAGTGGCTCCGTCTTCCACCTTCTATAACTTTAAATTAGTGCAGCCGGCTTGTCCTAATAAGATCTTTGCTAGAAACACATGTCGCCATAAAAAGGTAGACTAAAAGTCAATTAGAGACACCAGGCTGACGTGTGGGGTGGGCGTCCCGGTCCGCCCCCCTTTCCCCACCGGCCACGGAAACCAATCTGAGGCGTGTTGGAAGAAATCGATTAGTCAGGAGGCAGAAGATTAAAGGGAAGATATTAATCATCTGAGGGCAGCGACGATAATTGAGTCTGTAGCACTGACAGCCGGCGTGAAACGTCTGAGTGCGGATCGGGAGCGGATCTAGGGGTTATCTGGCATAAAGCAATCGCTTTTTACAAGCAAAAACACAAGGATCCCAAACACGCCGCCTCGTAGGAGAGGGGATTGTTGTCAGGGAACGGGATGGGGAGGACGCCGCGCTTCCCTCCGGGAGACAGAAATATTGTCTGTGATCGCTAACACGCATTTTATTGCCTAGGAATAAATTGCCCGATAGGCAGACGTTTATTCTAGTAAATTCACATCAGATGTGAGGAAGCCGCAAGGATACTTATCTCCTGGGATCTAGGTTCAGAAATGAGTTTTTACCCCTTGCTGGAGCCTATCTGTTCCCTCTCCTGCTTGGCGTCGCTTTTTTCATCTCTCCACCTCATGAAACGGTAAAATGCCCCTTAGAGGGAAATTCCGTTTTGTAAAGCCGGAGATCAGGGACACACGTGTCCAGCTTCCCCGGTCCGGGAGGGACTGTCAATGTAGGAAACAGCGGCGCTTGGGAAAACGAAGAAACCTGCTTTTAGTCCCCCCCTCCCCGCTTAGCATAGCACATACTTTCACCCTGACAGGGACATTTCCATGACCAAGTGTTACCGCTCTCATTGAAATCTATGCCCGAGCTTCCATCGATCAAAGATCAATTAGGCCTGTCAGGAGCATTTATTTAGGGGCATAGGGCGGCTTCATTTAGACTGCTCTCCTATTTCCCTCCGATGTCTCTGTACGACAGTATTTTTTTAAAAAGCAGCTGTGTCCCGTCTCCTGTGACCACTTAGCTCCTTCTCTGGTTGACGATCGCCCCACTGGGTACACAGAGAGGACCTCAGAGGTCCGCTCTGCGCACAGACTTCTCACTTCCCCACCGGCTTTCGCGGTTGCTGTCCTATTCACTGGCGGCAGCTCTTAGAGATCCGGGAGGATGTTAAACTTGTAGTAACCCGAGGTGGAGAAGGAGCGCAGCCGCGGAAGTACCCGGAGCCTGGAAAATTTTACAGCTGTGGAGGGAAGCGCCTTGCAGGGCGCCGCGCCCCTGGAGCAGGCCCCGCCGCCGGAGTGAAACTGAGTAGCCCGGCTCCAGGGCTCCGCCGCCCCCCGGGCCCGCCGCTTTCCCCGTGCCCTTCGCGGCTTGAGCTCAGACGCCCCAATGATATGAAGATCCGCAGCTCCCCCAGAGAAGGGAGTCACAGCCCTTGGGGTCAATCTGGGGAACATCGTGGGGCACGTTTGGTCCTAAATTCATGAGGACCCGTCCCTCCCAGCCCCACCATCTATTTATGCCAATGCAGGAACTCTGCTTTTTTGCTTTATTATTATTATTATTTGACGATGATGATGATTAAAAAGACCCGTGGACAGAGATTTCAGCACGAACCGGGGGGCTTCCTAAGCAGATCCGTAAATCCGTCCGAAGAAAAGAGTGACCTTTTAAAATCAGGATGCTCTGCGGACTCGACAAAGCCCTGCTTATGGCAAACAAACGTACCTTTGATCGCCACCTGCTTCCTAGTGGATGGACTAAAAACGATGATGGGTGTGGCTCATCGTATGGCTAAAAGAGCTCTCGGGATTAATCCTCCCAACGCTCAGCAGGAGCCGGGGGGCTTCCTAAGCAGATCCGTAAATCCGTCCGAAGAAAAGAGTGACCTTTTAAAATCAGGATGCTCTGCGGACTCGACAAAGCCCTGCTTATGGCAAACAAACGTACCTTTGATCGCCACCTGCTTCCTAGTGGATGGACTAAAAACGATGATGGGTGTGGCTCATCGTATGGCTAAAAGAGCTCTCGGGATTAATCCTCCCAACGCCTGAATCTGGGCTGCCGCGGCGTCTAAATCGGTGCCATAAAAAGGCAGGTAGAGTGATGCCAAAGTCATCAGCTTGGTAGCCGAATTTCAGCTTTCTCAGCTTTCTGGGCTGCTAGGATCCCCCGGCTCACCACTGCGCTCAGTAGCTACAGCTGTCTCAACAGCAAACAACTTTTGATTTATTCTGAGGAATAATAATCCTAACAAGAATAAATTATTTTGTTAATTCCTCTTTTCTCTCGCCGCAGTCGCTAGACATGAAAGGGACATCGAAATCTGTACATCTTTAACGGGGTTTGGGGGAGGAGACGCAGCCACTGCGAAGCTGCCCCCGGGGAGATTTCCAGAGGCGCCGAGATGTCACCTGGGGACGAAATCACGGGGGGACAGAAATCTTTTAGAGCTCTCCGCGCTGCTACAAGTGGCGCGT